ATAATTTTTTAAGTAGTGATAGTATAACTTTAAATAGAGATAAATAGTATATACAGTATATACAGTATGTAAATTGTATATAAATTCAATCAATAGCATAATTTTTAATAGATAGTATAACGTCAATAGTATAATACGTAGCATGGCGTCAATAATATAACATCAGCAAGTGTCAGTAAGTACGTAGCATAATTTCAGTACATAGCATAGTGCCAGCAGTAACAGTACACTGGCAGTATAGTGGCAGTATAGTAGTATACACTATATAGTAGTATAGTAGTCTACACTAACGTATAGCAGTAGCAGTATACTACGCAGTATACACTACAGCACTATCATATCAGTACACTATCAGTACACCATCAATACACCATCAATACACTATCAGTACACTATCAATACATTAACTAACTGTATAAAGTTAACATTAACGGTATAAGACATTTGAAGAAGTAACAATAAAGGAATAGATAGAAGAAAGAAAGAAAAACGATTAAAAAAAATGAAACTATTAAAAAAATGAAACTATTAAAAAGAATCCGACTAGTATAATCGGTTGTGCCTGCATCGGAATTTTAAAGAGAGTTCTCGTAAATGACTTGATTGATAAGGTTCGATCGTAATCCCCCATGTACTACAGAAAAAACCTCCTTATGGTACCACCGTTAACCCTTAAAACCTCAAAGAAGGAATGTCGGAGGAAAATAAAAGCGTAATGTCATTATTCAAGCATTATAAATAATAATAATTAATCTTATCTAATTAAAATTTAATGTTATCAATTAATTTATTTAATTGATAAAGTAACAGGTAATAATGTTTATATTTTCAATTAACTGTTGTGGGATTCCGACACACACACGCTGCTTTAGACTTATGATTAAATGTGCGGAAATTAAAAATTCTTTATTGTCATACATTCCTTACATTCAAAAAATTTGAGTGAATGCTTTAGTGTCATGTTGATATGCATCAATTTCAATTCATAAGAAAAGATATCACAAAGTCATTTGATCAAACAACTTTTTAGTCGATTGGTTGTACGAAAATACGGCATATTATTTTCTTTTCCGATATGCAAGCCATTATTGCATAAGAAGAAATTTATTGCGTAATTTTTTATTTACATTTAATTGAATTTTATTGTGTGATGGATTTTGTTCTAGATCTTGGTCTAGGTTCTAGACCTTGTCCTTGTTAGTCAATTTTGCTATTCATGATTATTCATAATTTCGTAATTTCGTAATTTCGTAATTTTCAATAAGTTCACAAATTTACTGTATTAAATCACTAAATCAATAAATCACTAAATCAATAAATCAATAAACCATTAAATCATTAAATCACTAAATCACTAATCTGTGGATTTTCTATACGTACGTACGTATCCGTTGGATTTTCTAAATCCGTTGGATTTTCATTTAAATTATTCTAAAATATATAATTTATTACATATATATTTATATATATTTATATATGCATAGTAGTAAGTTTTTAGTGAGTTTTAAATAAGTTTTATTGAGTTTTATTGAGTTTAGTACAGTACAGTACAGTACAATATAATAGTATAGTATAATAGTATATAGCATATTAATATGCAGATTTTAAACTTCTTATTTATGTTTAGTTTATTAATGTTTATTTTAATGCATATCGGTTACTGTAAAAGCATACTATATATTTCTTGGCAAGGATATACCTTTTTCCAATTTTGACACAATATGATAGATTTGACCAATTTAATCAAATTTGCCCAATTGGTCAGCTTTTTTTACTTTTTTTTCGTTCCGTATTGTCTTCTATCATGAAGTTTGACATGAATTCATACTTGCCGATTCTTTTTTGAATCGTCCAAACTTACCAATCTTATTAATCTCACCAATCTTACCAATCTTTACCAAACTTACCAATCTTACCAATGTAAGCCGACTATATGTTCCTTTTTAAGGTTTGTTGCTAAGTTTAAATCCGGATCTATTATTTGATTCTCTATGATATTTCTCCGATTCACATCTTGGAGAAATTTATTTTATTTTTCCGATATTACAATTCGATTATCCTTCTTTTCATTCATGCACGTGGTACAATAAAAAATCAGTCCTGAATTTCCCGTACGTACATACGCTTCGGAAAAATGTTAAAGCTTTTATATGTTTCTTTTGATTATTTTGATTATTACCTGTCATATTCTGGCATATCCTGGCATATATTCTTATTACATATTCTTATTATATATTCTTATTACATATTCTTATTCTATTCTATAATTATATTCTATTATTATATTCTATTATTATTATATACTATTATATATTTTTCACATCTTTCTATATTCTATATCATCTCGTCTGTCATATAAATTAAAAGAATTTCGAATGTTTGTTTATGCAAAAGGACTCGACCATCGTGATCTGTATCCGTCTCCGACTGTTTCCCTACAATATATGTATTGTTTATTTAAAAAAATATTCCTTTTTGCCGCAAAATGCTCCGTTATTATTATAAGCCTCACGATGTTAATTTCTATATTCAACCTACTCATTTGCATGATGACGATTTTAGGTATCACTATCTGATCATCTCGGTCACAAATGAACTAGCTTTATCACAATCAACTATCCGAATCTCAACATTTTTTTCTCATTTAAATGTTTCATTTTAAATTATAAATGAATACCGTATATGCTAGTTAATGTTAGTGGCTTTTATACTATTTTTGAATTAATCGGTGTAACATTTAAAATTTTAATTGTGTTGACCAACAGATGATTTCTTTTCTTTCCGGTAGCAAAAGTTTTTTTTTTTTTACGGTACTGTATAACATAAAAAAAAAAAAACCCGTACTCAAAAAAAAACATTTATTTATCGTTTATAAAATTATAAAATTATAAATTTAATATTTTTTTTTTTTTATTTGGTGTTTTTTTGATAAACAGTATATCATCACGTTTATCGCTTTCTTTCTATTTTTCTCCTCAGGCTTTTTTATAAAAATATTGCCGACTCTTTTTTCTTTAAAAAAAAAAAAAAAAAAAAAAGTATATATATATAAATAATTCGATTAAAATAATTATTGTTCTTACACATACACATTTAGTGTAAGAAAAAGCATGAGTACACAGTTACAAGTTGAACGCCAACTTCCGTCTTTATCACACTCTTCATATTCTTTAAGTGACCAACAACACTCAACGTCTTTGGTAACCGTTGAACAAGCTCAAAACCCTTTTATTGCCGGACACATGTCGTCTCAATCGTCATGTTCTACCCCTTTTTCTTCTCCTTCTTCAAGAATTAGAACCGTAACTGATTCAGATTCCTCGAAACAATCTAGCACTAGTAATACCATGAGACTAACAAATACAAGTTTAGGCAGCGATGATAACGGAAGTGCTGTTATGAAACGAACAAATAAGACCCATGTTCCTAGTGCCTGTGTCAACTGTAAACGTGCTCACCTTGCTTGTGACGGTAAGTTGATTTTCTAACTTGTTTTTGATCTATAAATCAAGTCAATCTTGTCAATATAGTCAATATAGTCAATCTCGTCGGAGATTTAATCTTTTCTTCTCTCCTGATCTCTGATTCTCTAATTCTCTGATTCTCCTGATTCCACTTTCCATCCCCGATTCAATTATTATTATTTTTTTTATAACTTATGCATAAAAAACTTTGTTATTTGAATTTTGGATCGGGGTATTTTCTTTATCGGAGAATTTTAAAGTTCGAGATATTAATTTCCGAAACATAAAAAAAAAAAAAAACTTCTTTGGAGAAGAAAGATTATTCTCATTTATTATTATTTTATAACTATTCACTTTGATTTTTCCGACTCGATTTATTAATAACAATTAATGTAACTTGTAGTATCGAGACCTTGTAAACGATGCGTAGCTCTTAATAAAGTTGATACTTGTATCGACATTAAACACAAGAAACGAGGACGCCCAAAATTGAAGGATAAGAAACCTCACCCGTATAATACACATGCAACGGGTGATGCAAAAACTTGGGTATCCAATACCCAATTTCTTCCTCCTACAACTACAAATCCTATTCCTTCTAGAAATCAACGTCAATTCGATCCACCACCTTCTCAAAATCAGCTTTCTTTTTCTTCTTTTGCTCCTTCCCCTCCTTATTATCGATCTCCTCCTGCGAGGCATATACATTTTAATCATCCTCCTTTCGTCAGTCAACCGTCAAGATCCCAGATCCCTTTATCGGAAATTTCTCCTACTATTACAATGTTTTTGACTGTTTCTGGCGCCCAATGTGCTAGAGTCTCTGATGAATGCTTAGGCAATATGGGCTATTATCCTACTGAACTTGTTCATAAATCTCTATATGAATATGTTCCTCCTTCGGATTGTGAAAGATTACAAAAACTTGTTGATTCTCTACTGGAAAATGCTCATAGGTATCACCATACCCTTCAACCTTCTCATCAATATTCTTATCAAGCTCCTTCCTTTGATCCTCCGGTTACAACCGATGATCCGGGTTTTTTTCAAACAAGTCCTGAACAATTACAATATCCTGCTTATGGTGGTACCCTTATTGAAGCTGCTGATATGATCCATTTAAAACAAAGAAACGGTCAATATGATTTATACAATGTCAAAACTTACCTTGGTGGTGGTCTTGGTGCTGAATTAACAAGGAAGGAAACTTGGTCCAAATTATACATTGTGGCTTTTTTCACCAGAGTCAAAACTGGATCTTGTGTACAAAATGATTGTAACCTTTACGCTCAATCTAGAATTAATGGTATTAATGGTCAAAATGTTAATTGTTTTTCGACCGTGAACACTTCTTCTGCCATTACTACAATTGATCCGGCTCTACTTTCGATGTCACCTCATTCATCGAATGATGCTTCAAATATAGGTACAGGAAAATTTGGTCTTTTAAGTCCTGTATCATCACCAAGACAAGATTTGAATCAAACATCATCTATATACATAGAAACAGCTCCACCACCACCTAATTCGCAAAATCCAACCGATTTTCATCCTCATCAGAGGACTCATCATTATCCTAACTCATTCACACCAGTTGCACAAAATATCCCTAGAAGTGATTCTACACAATCTTCTCCATCCATGCTACCTGATAGACGATCTTTACCGAATAGATCATCAAATAATAATATATACTATCAAGAAATGGATGCAAAACCTGTTATAGATTCTGCATTTGAACACAATCAACTTGATCGTTCATCACACTTTCATCATATACCAACTAATAATGATGTATCCCAACCAA